AACTGTTGTCAGCAATATAAGATGCAATACAAACCAATAGCAATATGACAAATTAATATCTTCAGCATCAACAACAGACATTAAAAACATATAGACAAAAGTCATTAATATTACCTAAAATATTGCAACACCTGCTTTAAATAGGAAATGTCAGCTAACCAAACAGGAGTGAAAGAGACAAGTAAAATAATGGAGCAGTTACGAGGGCAAGGTAAAGCACAACAGTAAATGATCAACGATGGAGTGGGTGAGGGAAGATTTCAGATGTAAAATAAAACCGAGGACACAATTTATACAACGAATTAATATACAGTAGCAAGATCTTCTATATATATATAAAGAGGAAGATAACCAATGTTATGGCCTAGTTCCAGATTTGTGTTTTATTCTATATAGGTGCACAGTTTTGTAGTAAAAAGCAGACATTGTTGAATGAAATTGAGTGTTTACTCATAATTTCCTACCTTTTGCATTTTTGCTATTCTATGTAAATTATTTTTCTAATATTATTCTGTACAAACAAACAAGTTATTATTTTTCATTTGTTCTAATTTAAGCTTTGACTACATAATCATTCCATATAAATGGCATGTAAACTTTGATGAATGGGAGCATCAGTTAACTGTTGATATTTCTGAAAATGGACAATGCATTCAAGAAACACAAACACTAAATCAGACGCAAAAGACTATAACACAAATAGTGACCAAACGCCACCCACAGACAAAAACTATCAATAAATTCAATTAAAACGCTCAAGGCAATAATACGTGTACCAAATTTCAATAAGCAGAAAGAGGAACACAATAATTCAAGTGAATATATTACTCTTTCAAACAAACCACTATAATTGGTGAATAACTCCAAGCAAATGGGATCAAGAGATCAAAGAAACCAGGGCCTACCACAACACCATAAAAGGAAAAGACTTGTGGATGCGACAAAAAGCCTATAAAAGAAGGCGAGAGACCACCTTTGTTATTACGATGGAAAACGAACAAAACAACTAAAACACGCTAAAAGTAATCAACGGAAATCTCAACGCCTCTTATTTGGACGAGATCTTTGTAAAAATAACTCAATAGAAAAGTTTTATTAGTAAAATAACTTTTTAAAAATTTTTATTTGTAAAATGACCACTTTTTATAAAGAATGATTAGGTGGTCATTTTTTCATAAAAAATGAAGGTCATTTTACTAATTTCACTTTGTTGGATAGTCATTCTAGCATATTGACCTTATTTGAACACAAGAACTAAAACAAAAGAGAAAAGCTCAAGTGACACCGACCGAATCTACGATTACAAGCCAACCGCTGCCAAGGGTGAGCGAGGGGATGACATCATAACAAGCGAGCCAGAACAAAGTCATAACAAGGCCGAGCCTCAAGAGTGCAGAAACTATGTGCCGCCGCCAGCCACTGCCGGTAAGAGAATACGCCCCACCACAGAGAAAACACGACTACTTCGCCCCAACCACCAAATCCCACCACCACACCACGCATGAGGCCCCTTTAAAGGAGCACCATCTTGAGAGGACCAAACTACCCCGACCTTAGAGTCGTTGGCGTAAGGAGGATTCTGGAGGACGAAGCCAAACACATGCCAGAGAGCACCACCAAATACCCACGCCTCCTTCTTGGCCCCGTCAAAATGTCACAGGAGGCAACGAATCCACAACACCCATCGACCCACCCATGGGGCGGGAGTCTGTAGCCTAGCCCAAAGGCAGTGCCGGACTTCAACCCTTTAAATCTTGTAGAGACAATGCAAGGAAAACGAGAGAAGGGGGATCATGAGAGTCCCTTATCTTGTTCGATTTTAGTTCCAGCCAATAAAGATATCATTTTGTCAGAAAACATGAGCTAATTTCGTTCTTATCAGTTAGTTTAATTTATTATTTTAATTGTTATCAAATTCGAATCATTAGATAGGTTACATATGGTAGGATAAGGTTGTTTCGGTTTGATTTGTTTATTGATTTAAACTTTTTGGGTAGTTAGGACCCGAGTAGAAAGAGATAGGCTTTATATTTTCAGAAGTTGTATTCTTGCCACATAAAATTAATGAAAAAGTGTGAAGGTTTTTCTTCCAAAAAAATTACATGGTATCAGAGCCATGGTAAAAACTGCCATTACAGGTTCCAAGCGAAGTTCGGTAGCGTCAGGTGCTGAGACAACGAGCAACCAGAGAACCCAATCGAATTCATCAGGTCCGTTTAATAGCCCGGATTACTTGTACCTAAATTGAATGGTAATGGAAGAGGACAACAGTCTTTTAAAGAGAAGCTTCCGTTCACCAAA